CCCCTGCTGTGACTCCCCCAGTGTGATGGACTGTAACGTAGAACTAGGAACCAGCATTGACTTTCCCTTTTGAAGTTGCTTTTGTCAGGGTATTTTTTTTTTCATCACATTTTTTAAAAATATTTTTCAGAACATTTTTGAAGCTAGATGAGAAACTGTCTAGCAGAAGTACAAGCAGTACCGATGGAAGGAGATTCCATTCTCCTGGAGAATTTGAGCCAGATTTAAGACTAAAGCAAAGATTTTGATTTAATTTAAAAATGCCCTGCCAAAGATATGACCTTCATTTTTTTCCCATGAGAGGTCTTTTAGAGCCTGCCTGAAAAACAAATCCAACTCACGTGAAAATGCAAATCAAGTCAGGGATTGAAATAACATATGCTACTTACTGGCTTCATACAAGTTGGGTAGTGGAGTTTAGGTTGCCACAAACTTCGGGATACCCAAGAAGACCTTTTATTTCAAGCCTGACATGATTAGATGTTGGAAATTGTTCTTTAATAATTAAACAGGCCATCTGTAGAAGGCAGTGTGACCTTTCACCCGCAGTCTCTCACGCTGTTCTAGAATTTCTGCAGTTGGCACATATGGTATCAGAAACCCATTGATACTCTCCTTTGAAATATTAGAGGAGCGGGCTTAAGGCAGCTGTCTCTGGGCTGCCAGCTCTCATTGCCACGCAGGCTTTAAATGCCCTTGGCCTGTCGTTTTGAGTTAGCATACCTTAATCACAACGCTCGCCATAATATAATTCAGCCGATGCCTGAAATCCAATACAGTGGAACATTTGCTGAATGGCGCACTTAGCAACACTCACCAGCCAGAATGTATGTGTTTTCCATTGAGATGCCTTTTCATGCTCTGCGTGTGCCCTCAGAAATGTCATGTAGATTATAAACATTCCTTGTTCTGGAACAACGGAATACCAACAATTTCCATTATGCTCCCGCTCCCTTGTTAGGAATGTACAGGGACTGTGACGTTTGAAAAACTAGCTGCTCCGAGGCCTAGAGATTGATAGCGCTACTAAAATATTGATGTGACCCTGTCATTCCGTCAACGCAGTAATTAGACCGCCACGATGAGAACACTTGTCTGTTTGTCTTAAATGTCTCATCGGGCACCTTCTGCAGTGTGCTGAGTCCTTTCAGAATGGTCAGAGTGGAGGGAAGGGCATCAGTTACTGCAAGCATGGTTTCCGTGTGTCTTCAGAAGGGACGGAGGCACTGACTGGAGCAGTACTCCCCTGTTAACCTGCAGCAGAGGGGAACTATCTGTTGACCTTCCACAGGCTGTTTATCTACGAGTTCAGTTGTCAGGCTACATTTGAATGCCTTTAGGGTTGACCTTAGCGCTGCTTTTAGAGATAAAGGTGCCTCTCCACTTCCATTGAAAGCCTTCCTATGGACATTTAGCCAAACCAGAGATCAATATAGTAGGCTTATTTTTTAAAATATGCTTATATTTTGTTTAAAAGTCAAACAGCTAGGGAAGCAGTCCTAGAAAATGGTGTTCACATTTGCTCATTACACATTAACAATCAGAGACCCAGAGAATCTATCTTATTCACTTTGCTGATGTAAGTATTGTTCAAAACTGGAATTCAACACGTTGAACATGAGATAGCAGCTCACTGAGCATTAAGACACGTTATGAAATGGGTCACATCAACCCTTTTCCTCCAGCAAGGTATTAAACTGTGAAGGTAGAAAATCAGTATGCATTCATGTTTTATTTCCTTAAAAGTGCTTATTTATGAGTTGCTCCTATAATGGGGTATGGGAGTTTTATCATCATAGAGAGACATTGATAACTTAATCTTCGGTTAATATAGGTACCAAGCATGTAAAGTAAACGCACATAATAAAATGCGAAGTGGTTTTGTGCATGCGTAGGAGGGGATACCGCTCTGGCTATGCTGGCGAATCCCTGGTGAAGCTGCCAAGTCCACCCTTCATCCTCTCTGCTCCGCCTTAGCCTTTGCCAGCTGTGCTGCCCGAGTTTCTCCGCCCCTCCGCGGGGCGAGAGAGACAGAGAAGTCATGATATGCGATTCCCCTATTCTATCAGACACGCTAATCTCTGCAGCTTTAGGAGCAGCCTCCCGTGCAGTCCCTGCTGATGGTCTCTGGCGGCATCTTCCTTCACTGTTTGTTACCTGTAAGTGTGTCACCCGCCTGTTCTTGTAACTCCTGCCAAACCTCTATGTTTTCACTGATGCAGGGGGGTAAGAAAGAGCGAAGAGTAACAGAGACGCTTCACCTTTACACTTTGAGCGCATCAACTCCGTGGACCAGAACGAACTGTTTAAACTAGAAATCATGCCGTTATTGTGGCCACCAACAGGTGGCGCTAATAGTCACACCTAGACATTTAATGGACAGGATTTCTTCAGTTTGTTGACTAGTTCCATCTTTTGAAATTGTTTAGATATCAACTCTGTACCTGTTAAATGCAAATGTCTAAGAAAGTGCTTCGAAACTATTTTAATGAACACACATTTGCTTATGACTAAGGCGAGAACAGAGATTATGTAAGAAGCAGGGAAAGAGAGAAGATAGGATTTGTACATTGCGGGATGGGGACCAGGAATAATTTTGAAAGACAAAGAGTACAGGAAACAAAATAGAAAGCTGAATGATAACAGAGAAATCCTTCAAATTAGTTTGCCACTATTACGGTGTGAATTGTGTTCCCTCCAGGACGACAGTTTAGAAACAGGGACTCCGAGCAGCTAATTAAGGATAAATGAAGTCATAAAGCAGGGTGCTGAGCTTTGAGTTCTCAGTCCTCACGGGAGAAGAGATGCTAGGGCTTTGTGTGCACAGAGAGACGCACACGTGGTGTGAGACCAAAGCCAGAAGGCGCTGCGCACATGGTTTAAAGAGAAGCCTCCCTAGAGGCCGTCCTTGCCAGCCCCTCCAGAAGGGCAACAAAGTCTGTCGTTCAAGTCAACGATCTGTGGTGTTCTCCTATAGTTCTCCTCGAGGCCTCCAGTCTCCAGGCAACCAGCATCCAGAGTGAGGCTAAACATGTTGGCTGACCCAACACCATTTCCCAGAACTTTCCTTTAGTGTTTGCGTTGGTTTGGGTCTTTTGAGATTCATCTGAGAGAGTACATATGGATTATATGTACAAGATATTCGTTGGGGAAATGTGGGACAGAAGGCGAGACTCTCTGAGTACTCATACAGTTCTGACCTGTGAAGGGAGGAGAAAGAAGTGTTGGTTGACCGTGGTTCAGAGACCGCACAGTTCCAAGAACATTTCAGCTAGGTTTACGGGGAGTCTGTTATCCAAAATCTCCCGCCGAAGGCTTTCCATATTGGTAACTCACCATGTTTAGTGTTGACTGAACGATTCGCAGGAATCATAGCGCTGGGATGAAAATGTCGAGGAATCTGGGCCTCAACAGCTGGAGCCATCCGTCACTCAAGCTCTGATCCGGGCTTTACTCCGCCATACTCTACCTCAAGCTGGCGTTAGCAGCCATGGAGACCGAATCCTTCCAAGTCTGAAACCAGAGGAAACGTGCATCCTTGCCCCAAGCCTCTGTAAAAGCTCCAAGAGGGTCTTGGAACGGATACACTTAAACCATTTGCCCACCCCCGAGCCAGGAAAAATTCCATGCCTTGCTTTTCTCCGGTCTAATATTTCAGGCTTCCCTTCGATGCTGAGTTGTATCATAAGAAATAATGGGCATCAGGAAGCACATTTACTGAGAATATATATTCTATATCCCCAGAACATACTTATTTTTAAGTATTTTTATCTCCTGTAGCTTCCCAGGGTGCTTTCCAAAGGCAGGAGCAATTCAGAGCTGTGCCAAAGGTAACTCTCCCCACATCCTCAGCAGCTGGGTTAGTTTCCTTTATGAACGCTGGCTGCTTCATTGGTCCACCATGAGTGCTCGTGTGGTTTATTACAGTGACTCACACTTGTCGCGTATTAGCAACCATCTTTTTTTTTCTTAGATTTTCTTTTCTGTAAATGGGCTCCTCCTATCTCTGCTCATTTTCCCATTTAGTTTTGTGCTTCTCTTGTTTGTAAAAGCACTTTTCATGTTACAACAAATACTCCTCTGTTTGCTGTCACCCTAACCAACAGGCTGTCGAGCGTCTTTCCGTCTTCCATATTTATGGCCAGTATTGGATATTTCACTGGCAAGTCACAGTATAGATCAGTATGCTAGGGACATGGAAATGATCTTTAAAACCAAACCAAAATGGTCTTTACTTAAGGGCATTTTTCTATCTCTCTGGCGTCCACCTCCGGTTCTCTGCAGTCGCTCAGGTCAGTAGCGCTCTGGGTTCAGCATTCTGGTCCCACCTGCCCAACTCTTGCCCATACCCTTTGTGTACAGCTATTGTATTTCCGAAAGTTGAGTTTTTGAAGAGATTTGCTTTAAAAGGTAAGTTTACATTGTTGCCATTCTATATTATGACTACTAAACAAATGATTATGAAAATAAGAGAGGTTCATCTTTGTATTATGTAAAACACACGCCTTGAGCAACTGTATCGGAGTAATCACCTGTTCCCAGCAGAGTCAAGTCCCGGACTGGAAATTTTCAGACAATGTGTTTCGTGGCCTGCCGTGTACCCTCCTGAGAGATATGAGAGAATGGGGATTCATTTACGTCTCTCCAGAAGGGCCAATTACTTTATATGCGACGGACACTGGAAATTAAAACTTACTCCTCTCATCAAAAATCAGCAGCATAGCGGAAAAGGCTTCTGGGGCAGAGAAGGAGCCTTTCCTCTGGTCCAGCGCACAGCCGGCCTGCGGCTCTCAGGGCTTGAGTCCGGTGCGCACCAGGAGGGCGGTCTCAACGTTCTCATTCCAGCCTTAACATTCCAAGGTTCTGCTGATTATGCTGGCGTGCAGGGGTCAGAACAGGACGGCCTGGGGCCCAGGGCTGGGTGGGGCCCCTGAGTGGGGTCCCTGCGCAGGATCTTCCTATAGAGTCCAGTGTCCTGTGTGCAGAGGCCAACCCAAGCCATGCGCTGGCTGAGGGTCTGGAGCCACATTCTCCTGCCCTTGTTCCTCTCGCTAGCTCTCATCCAGCTGTTTATCTCCGACCATAAAAGTACGAAAACCCTCCAATTCTGGAACCGGCAGTTAGAAGCAAAGCACGTAGAAATGGGTGAGTGACCTGTGACGCCAGGCGGGGTGCTGTGGCGGTACCCCACGGGCTTCTCGGTTGGGGCATCCTAGCTGCCTCAATTGTTCATTTCAATACTGGTCGTGTGGTGGTGGTGGTGGGGTGGTGGGGAGACATTTTTGTAAGAAGGTTCTTTATGTTATGAGGGAATCTAGTGAAAACTGAACTCCGATTGTTCCCACTGCCTAAATTCTATTGATGAGAACCAGGAGAAACCGGCTATGCAGTTTAGTATAGAAAGACGCCAAAGAAAAGTGGCCAGTTTCTGTTTCTTGGCAGTCCCCTCATTGCCAGGGGCCAGAGAGGCCAGAAGCAGACTCTCGTGGGGGCTCTCATGCCTGATCTGGCTCTTACATGATTTTAGGGTTAGCTCTTCCGAGGGAGACATGTCAGAGAAGCAGGGATGACGGGCTAAGATAAAACTCCTTCTGGTCAAGAGACTGGAATTCCGGGCTTGGGTGCGGGGCTAGCAGTCCATCTGAAGGGATCAACCACCATGCCAAGGGGCCAGCCCTAGGAAGACGAGCTAGAGACAGGTGGATTGCTTAGTCTTTTCCGGAGGTGATGATGTGTTCGCCCCTCCAGAATCCGTGCCCCCAGCGCAGGAGCTCACCCAGCTGCGACCATGAAGCTCAAGTCTGAGCACCTATCTAACTTGGTCTCCGTTTTCTCTTTTCTGAACACGCTTGCTCTAACACTGTGGGTCCCCCCCCCAACATCTCGGGCTTTTTCTCACCGTGAAGCTGTTTATCCTCTGTGTATCTGACCTCCAGGCTGCCTCACACAGCATGGGTTATTTTTTCCTTTGTTGTTGTTCTGTTCTTCATTGCCCTTTTGATAACTACTGAAATTTATAGCTTGCCTGCCTTGAATTTCTCTTTATTTTCTCTTTTCCTTTTAAACATGAATAAAATAGTTCTTGAGCCTAAACAAAAATTCTTTGCAAATGTTATTAAAGAAGGCAAATGTACCAGTATTAATATTAAATAAGAGAAATTTCAAATTAAAAATCAAACAGAGGAGCTGGTGCCGTTTTATTTTTACACACAGTAAATAAACAACGATGACATCTTAATAAATTTTTATTTGCCTAAAATATATATTTTAAACTGTACAGTAAAAGATATATTTTTAAAAAAAGAATATTCAACAAATTATATGTTTGTGTGAGAAATCAACAGGTAAAGTAGAGAGAATTGGAGTTGAGGAGAGTTTTCTCCAGCAGAAGCAGGGACAGTTAGTTTATTAAGGCAAGATGCACTTAGAGCTCCAAACAGCTGGTGTTTATGCCAGCCTGCACATGTTTGGGTGTCAGGCACATGGCATGATGCAGCTCTGGGCCCCACCTCTTGTGCTTCCTGTCGCATTGGCTTCTTAAGTCCCACCCAGGGACTGGGTTCTCTGTTGTGAGGAACTAAGACGCCCTGGAGGGCCACCTCTGCGCTCTAGTTGGCCCTAGTCTCTGGGGTGTGGGTGAGGTTGAGTGCCAGTGGGAGGCTGTTCTGGCCTTCATTTTTGCCAGCTTGCTCTTTTCATAGGCTAATTTTGCAGCCTCTGTGGAGGCCTCCCAATCTCATTGCCCGCCCCATTCTCTTGCCTCAAATGTGCCCTCAGGGCCAGGGTCTCAAAGTTCTTTTTGGGGGAGCTGAAAATGACTTGTGTTTTAAATTATTTCTATATATTCTACATGATCCCTGCCTATGCAGGACAGAACTGTTGCTTCCAAAGATGCGAGGAGAAAGATCACCGACTCAAATCATCAAGGCCAAATTAATTAAAGCAAGCAATTAATTAAAGCAAGCCTTTTATTTGTGTATGTGGATGGCTTCCCTCTAAGGTGGGGTTCAAGAGGTCAGCATTGGATGTGAGGAAGATAAGGTTGTAGCTCAGGGGTGGGGGGGTTCCCAAATGGATAGTTTAGTGGCCAAATAGGGGGGTTATAGAAGCAGAACATAAGAATAACAAGTTAGTCATAACAACCTACTGAAAGACATGGTTGCAAGGTGGGCATAACAAGGTTGTCATAACAACTGGTGGTCATAATAACCTTTAGAAACAAAAGTATGGTTGCCATCCTGGAAAAGGCAGTACAGAACCATTTGTAGTTAAGATTACAAGGTAGGACACAGTCCAATCCTTGAGAAACAAAGATTTAATCGTAAATATGAATGAACACAGTTTGTCTTTACTATAAGACGGCTTTTAAGCCTACAATGGAGGCAGGCTAGTTCATCAATAGCATCCCCTCAGAATACTCTGTATATCCGGTGGTTAACTAGAATCTCTCCATTTCAAAAATCTTAGTATGAAACTTCTGTGATCTAGAAAATACAAGTATTTTTTCTGTGAGCCTTTGGCAAGTTCCTTGGGCTGCTGTCTGCATGTCTGGAGCCATCAGGTGTTATGATACAGTTGTCCAGTTTTAGGAATAAGATCCCACATCGTGTTATAAAAAATAGTAATGGGGAAAATATAAAAGGTTTCTGTGAAGGAATTCAATCTTGGAATATATTAAAAGCAGAACAATATGAGGTTGTAAGTTATGACCATAATCATTGAAGAAAAATTTAAGTCTTAATAGTTCACGAGTTTAAGCAGCCTTGTCTTCAAGATCTGGAGAGAGGGTAAGGGATTATTATAGACAGAAACTTCTTGTGTCTCTTAGGTCTGGGCAGGAAAGGCCTTTCTCTATCCTGAGAAGGTGTTACCAGACAATCAAAGATGTTTATAGTCTAGATAAGGCTCACCTATCGGCACTGTGACAGGCACTGCTGCTCAGAAGCATTCTAGATGCTCACGAGTTCCAGAGTGGCAGCCGAAGGAGCTGTACATCAGGAAAGCCACTGAGGTTATAAGTGAGGATGTCAGCTTAGGTTCTTAGCAACTAAAAATTCAGTAAATAGAATCTCATTTATCTTTTTTCTCTTAGCTGTCCTTGAAAAAAGAATTCTTCCCTAAGTATCTTTGTTAATTTATTTACTATAATGGTAATAAAAGGAAGTTTGTGGTAGTTTGAATGTAAGTGGCCCCCATAAATTCAATGGGAGTGGCAGTATTAGGAGGTGTGGCTTTGTTGGAGTCGGTGTGGCTTATTGGAGCAAGTGTGTCACTGTAGGGGCAGGCTTTGATGTTTCATATATGCTCAAGATGCCACCCAGTGAGCCATACCACTTCCTGCTGCAAGATGTAAGAATCTCAGCTATTTCTCCAACACCAGGTCTGACGGCATGCCACCATGTCCCACCATGATGCTAATGGACTGAACCTCTGAACTGTGAGTGAGCCACCCAGTTAAATATTTCCCTTTATAAGAGTTGCTGTGGCCGGGCAGTGGTGACACATACCTTTAATCTCAGCACTTGGGAGGCAGAGGCAGGCGGATCTCTGCGAGTTTGAGGCCAGCGTGGTCTACAAGAGCTAGTTCCAGGACAGGTTCCAAAGCAACATACAGAAATCCTGTCTCAAAAAACAAAACAAAACTAAAACAAACAAAGAGTTGTTGTGGTCATGGTGTATCTTCACAGCAATAGAAACCCTAAGACAAGTTGGCTATAAATATTGATGCCACCAGCTAGACATTTGTAATTATATTCTTCAAGGAAGAAGATGTGATTCTCTGGATCAGCAACATTCTGGATATTATAGAGAGAGTGACTAGCAATAATTCCACAAAAACTAGCAAAGAGCCATGTTCTAGCAGTCATGAAAAAGGTGATTGCATGGAAGGAAATAAACACTGGAGACAAACATAAAAACCAGGCTGGGGCCGGGCGGTGGTGGCGCACGCCTTTAATCCCAGCACTTGGGAGGCAGATGCAGGCGGATCTCTATGAGTTCGAGACCAGCCTGGTCTAAAAGAGCTAGTTCCAGGACAGGCTCCAAAACCACAGAGAAACCCTGTCTCGAAAAACAAAAAAACAAAAAAACCAGGCTGGGGCTTGGAAGATAGTGCAGTGGTTAAAGCTGAGCCTAAGCGTGAAGACTAGGATCATACCCCCAGAAATGATATAAAGTCAGATCCGTGATCCCCATCTGCGGCAAGAGGGAAGACAGACATGTTTATTCCTAGAAGTTCGTGACCAGCTTAACTTGGATATGCAATGATAAACAAGAGACTTGCTTCAAAACAATGTAGAAGGTGAGACCCAATACTGGAGGCTATACTCTGACATGCACACATGTCCTTGGTGTATGTAAACCTGCACGCATGCACACACACATGCATGCATACACATATGTGCACACACATGTGTGCACACACAGTTACAAATACAAATACAAACTGAGAGGCATCCCATAAAATGCTGATCCACATTTATCAGAAACTCCCAGGTCATGACAAACCAGGACAGACATCTGTTGCAGATGGAGGACACAAGATGTCTGAAGGCAATACGGAATCCCACAAGACCTTGAAACACAAACAAGACACTGGTGTAAAAACTGAGAAAATCTGGAGTTTAGTTCAAAGCAATACATTTTTGGTTTCTTCTTTTTGAAGTTGAACTTTATTCATTATTATTTTGAAGGTGGTGTGTATCTCAGATCCACACACGCCTGTGGAAGTTGGAGATCAACTCTGTGCAGTCTGCTCTCTCCTCCCCCTTTTTGTGGCCCTGAACTCAGGCATTTAGGCTTGCAAGACCTTTGCATTTGCTCGCTGAGCCCAGCTTGCTGGCCCTGGTTTCAGAGTTCAGATAATGGTGACCAGGTCATTTCTCCTGAAATAAACCTGGAGCAGCATCTTGGACACTCTCGAAGCCTTAGAATCTTTTCTATTTACTTTGTCTTTTCATTGTCTAATGTTACTGTAGGAATTTTAACATTCTTCAAGGGTAGGAAAAGAACTAATGATCAATAAGATTTAATTCAAGAACTGAACTGTATTTTTTTTTCCCAGCCGGTAAGCTCTGCATCTAATTAAACAATCTGAAACTAAATAGACTGTTCTTACAAAGCCTGTGAGTTCTGCCACCAAATAATGGGTAGAATAACTTGATTATTCTTGTGTTATAAAACATGAGCACCAGATATCAGATATAAACTTCGTTTTTTCAGAAGCCATCAGAGTAATAACATGAGCCGTCAAAATGGGTTTTTGAATTTGAACTCAGTTTTCATTATAGAACTTTCACAGATAAGTGATACTATTATGCTATCACTTTTCTACAAAGGAAAAATATCTTCATCTGGAAGGAGCTTTTTAAGTTTTGTGGCAAAGCAGGTTGGAGAATTGCAAGTTTCTTTTTAATTTTTATTTATATTACTATTATTGTTATTTTGTTTTTTCAAAACATGGTTTTTCTGTGTAATTGCCCTGGCTGTCCTGGAACTAGCTCTTGTAGACCAGGCTGGTCTTGAACTCACAGGGATCTGTCTGCCTCTGCCTCCCAAGTGCTGGGATTAAAGGTGTGTGCCACCACTGCACGGCTCAGGTTTCTTTTTTAAATAAGGGATTAATTAATTAGCCAGGAATGTCTTTGTAAAGCTGTTCTGACAACAAAGGAGTTACTAAACTATTTCTAAGGTATGATATGGTATATTAAAACTGTGTGGTGCAATTGACAATTTGCTAATTTTGATTATCTTGTCAGTTGTTTTGTAGAAGTTGGCTAATCAACACTCAATAATGCCATCTCATATTTTTTTTCCCCAGAAACTAAGGGAAATGAGTTGGGGATTAAATTGTAATGGTAGTGTGTCTTCATTAGTTTTCTATTGCTGTAAAGAGACAACATGACCAAGGCAACTTATACAAGAAAATACTTAGTTAGGGGCCTTGCTTATGGTTTCAGAGGGCGAGTCTATGACCGTCATGATGACAAGCATGACAACAGGCAGGCAAACATGGCGCTGGAGCAGTAGGGGAGGCTCTCCAAGCAGCTGATCTACAAGCAGGAGGCTTATAGAAAGAGAAACAATGGGCCTGGTGTGGGCTTCTAAACTTCAAAGCCACACCTGCTCCAACAAGGCCACTGTTCCTAATCCTTCCCCAAAACAGTTCTGCTAACTAGGGACCAAGCCTCCAAACATATGAGCCTGTAGGGCCGATAGTATGCAAACCACCATATGAGGACTGCACTAGGTGTATGTAAATAAAAAAGCAAGCTGTTTGAATATGGATGAATAGAGCTTGAAACAGGAATAAATTGAGCAATAAATTGGCTTTGGTTTTAATTTTTATGCTTTTTATTTTTTTGTAGACTGTGCTCAAAAGCAAACTTGTCCATCGTGTACCCGAGACAAGAGAGTAAGTTAATTTTCTTATGAATAAATTGTCCTGGGAATGTTATGAATTTACATGCTTACAGTTGTCACCTGGAAGATATGCTAAGTTTTGTTTCCTACACTTTGACAGCTGAAACAAATAATGACAGCTATGAATATATGTCCCTTTACTGTAAACCATCCTTTGTGGGTCTAAAAAAATAATGGAAATACTTCAGTATAGACTTGTACTTCCATCTGGAAAATAATACATCAAAAAGAAAGCAAGTTTTTGCTTGAAAAATGAAATCACACCAAAATGTTGGAAGAATTTTTGTAAACAAAGCTATAGCTTTTGAAATATGGCAATATTTTCATTATAACCTCTAAAGGCTAGAAAGAATGGCACATGATCCATAACCTCAGCATAACTAAGGTCCCCTTCTCAGATGATTAAATGTCTTTTTTTTGTATAATTATTTTTTATTTCCAGCTTTGAAGAAAACAACAAATAAGTAAAAAACAAAATCCCAACAGCGATGAAGCAGATAGTGTCCAATAGTGTACAGATAGTGTCCAATAGTGTACAGATAGTGTCCAATAGGAGATGATTGTTCATGTCCCAGCTGCCCAGACTCCAGAAATAATCACACAGAAACTGTATTAATTAAATCACTGCTTCGCCTCTTAGGTCTAGCTTCTTATTGGCTAGCTCTTACATCTTAATTTAACCCATTGTCATTATTTTATATTTTACCACAAGACTGGTGGCCTACCGGCAACGTTCTAACTGGTGACTCGTGTCTTTCTCCTCTGCTGGCTCCATGGCATCTCCTTGACTCTGCCTTCTTTCTCCCAGCATTCAGTTTAGTTCCACTGTCTAGCTCTATTCTACCCTATCACAGGCCAAGACAAATTCTTCATTCATTAACCAATAAAGGCAACAATATGTAGACAGAAGGATGTCCCACACCACACAGCTGTGTCGTAACACTTGAAAAGTCATTCAGGTCTACTCTCTTGGAGAACTGACCATACACTCTGGTGATGGTTTCTGCCATCGTGATCTAGATAAGTATCATTGGCCTCTGCTCTTCTTCCAGGTCACTCTTGTGCTTTACTGAGGACATGAGTTTCTGGCTCATTGAATTCTCCACTCTGTTCCCACCACGTTACCAGCTTTCCTCAGATAACCCTGGCTCAGACACATGCTGTCTCCATGTCCACTTCCTTAACTCTGTGGTTCGGATAACAGGGATAACTCTCTGAGCCCTGAACTGCCTATGGTGCCCGTCATTTTCTCCTTTCCTGGCACTGTACCTATGCTTATGCCTCAACAAGATAAGTCTATCTACCCACCCTCCCACTCAGCCCTTAGTCCCCTCAGTTTCCTTCAGGTGCTTGCCCCTGACCTCACCAGGCTCCCTTGTGAATTTTAATCATTCACGTAGATTAATCCCCCCACCTTTTTGTTTTTCATTGTTTTTGCCATGCAAAATTTCAAGCATATAAAAGTAGAGGAAGCATACCTGTGAACTATGGCATGAGCTCCTTGTCCTTCGCTAGGAAACTGAGGTAGCTGCATCACTTGAGTCCAGGAGTTGAAGGCTAGCCTAGGCAACTAAAAGAAACCCCGTATTTAAAAAATAATATAGGAGACAGTATAATAAAACTTTATAGCACTAAGGGTCATCTTGGGTAACTTTATCTCATGGACATCCCTCTTTCCAAGTAGATTATTTTGAAGTCAATAATGACATGAATATCATCTTATTTGTAAATATTTGACCCTCTATATATGTCTTCAATAAAAATTGAAGTATTACATATATAATCATATCTAAAAATTAACAACTAAGTACCCAGTTACTTTTTTTTGTTTCATATTTGTTTGTTTAAATCAGATCCACATGCTGTAATTGGTGGAGACATACTTTAAGTCTCTCTGAGTCTATGCATTCTTTAATCAGATCCACATGCTGTAATTGGTGGAGACATACCTTAAGTCTCTCTGAGTCTATGTATTCTTTCTATTCTCCTTTTCTTTTATTGCAAATTATTCATTACAGAACAGATTGTTGTCCTGCTGAGCTTCCTCTAGGCTGGATTTTGCTGATCACAGCCACATTACAAAGATGACTTTATTGTTATTGTTTCCCTTTCCCTGTTTTTATAAGGTTAGTAACTAGACAGAAAGGACTGAACACATTCTGTAGGGGCTTTTAGTGGTAACACCAATGCTGAAGATACATTAGAAGACAGATAGGACTGTGGTCTAGCCTTTAGTGATGCCAGCAGTAAATGATGTTCTCCTATATTGTTAACAAACTTGCCTTCCTGTTGGCCACTCACATTGCCCAGCTCTGGTTGGTCTCTGATCCTCCTATGCTCCAGTGCGAGGCATTATTAGCGAATTACTGCACAGACACACTACAACACAGCCCTCGTTAGTACAGCTGCTAAGGCCACCTGATCCCAGGTGCTAATTATTCTTTGCTCTTTTGGTTAGCAACATTTCCTAAGAATGCCCACAGTAGTAGTTCTAGAACATTGTGACCATCCTTAAAATGCCAATATCATTCACACCCCTCACATCTCAATCTCAAAAGGTGACTTGATCTTTTAATTTTAAAGACAAAAACAGAGACTCTGGGTATTAGCTTCAATCACTGAATTTTAGGATGACTGTCATTTTTATTCAGATTTACATATCCTTATCATTTTTCCTTAAAGGATTAATACCTCCTGCAGTCCTGCTATACTTCGTAGGACTTACACCTATGCATCGTTCCATTTTCTTTCATACGATATATATTGTGTTGGTCTTTTGCTGTCATATTTCCTGTTCTCAGTTCCCTAGGACAAAGGCAGGGTTTTCACCACCTTTGCGTCAACACACCTCACACATTTCCCAGCACACACTTGCAGTGATCGAGTGGAAAGCATTCAATAACTATTGAGCTATTAGAAGGAGCCTGCGCTGCATTCAATACACTCGCTAATGTAACAAGGTAGAGAGTTTTATCTTGAAACATTTCTACACACAAGCCATTATGACACATCTGGAGATGGGACAGTGACTTCCACTCGCAGATTTTATTATTTCCCACACTGCTCCAAAGACCTGTTTTACAGGCAGCAATTCCTACAGCAACCAAGTATTTGCGTTCTCCTTGGAACCACACAGGAGGGACAGATGTTTGGCGTATCTTGGAAAGCCCTACTTTGTGTTCATTGTTTCACTTAACTCAAGAGAATTATCACACCAGCATCTAATTTCCCCCAAACATTATAGTTTGAGTTCATATAATGTATGTTCTTAGGTGAAAGAGAATCTTTAGATTCTGTTTGAATATTTTCCTTGTAGTCTGATAGCAAAGGCCATCCTTTCTAGAATTAGAAAATGTTCTGGCCAAAACAAATCCATAAAAAAAACTTATTTAAAAGCCCACCCTTAACTTGCTCATAAACACAGCATATGAGAAAGAAAATGTGGGGGCTGGGGAGCTAATTGAGTGAAATGCTCGCTATAAGCACAAGGAACTGAGTTAGGATCCCTAGGACCCATGAGAAAAGCCAGGGCTGGGGAAGCCAAGTCAGACAAATCTCTGGAACTTTCTGGCCAGCTAACCTAGCCAAACTGGCCAACCTGGGGCCTCCTGAGGATCAACACCTAAAGTTGATTCCTGGCTTTCACATGCATACACACACTCATACTTTGAATACACACACACACACTCATGCCCTCACGCACCACCAAAACGTTGATGTATTTGTTCCATTAAAAGTAAACCTTTAAGAAGACCATGCCAACTAAGCAATTTTTGCGGGTCTTTTGCTGCCATTTAGAGTTTTATGTATCACTGCTGAGTCTCTGAAATGATGGTTCTCAGTCCTGAGGTCACAGTGGTGAGATTGTCTTTGGTAAGTTTTGTTCTTGACTAATTGGAGTGACAAGGCTGAATTCTGCGGTGAGTTAAAGCAATGCCTCAGAGTAGATCCTGGGTTGTCTCTACAAACAAGTCTTTATCATTCATCCCTTCCTGATATGGATTACTGTTCAGGATGGAAAGGAATGACATATAGAAAGCTATAAGACTTGTAAACCTCTCATGGCCTAACTTATGTGTTGACTAGTTCACATGGGAAGGCTGTTATGTGATTATCAGATGCATTTATAAATGCTGGAACCCAAATTGCACCAAGAGATCCATTTTAACACTTGTTTTTCCGATAGTGAACACATACAAAAGTGTGTAGGGCGTATATACTAGGAGATGATGGGTTCAGATCCAGACATCTTGTGGAGGATGCTTTTCTTTGACATGTTTAAGGCCATCTGGTAGGCCTTGTGTTCTCTCTTTTCTGCTGAATGATGTCAGAGCTTTCTCTCTTACACGTTCTTTTAGAAACCTTCAAGGTGCGTCTCTGTAGTCTTGCCTCTGTTCTTGCGTCAGCCTCAGAAGCAGGCCAGTGAGAGGGCTCGGTGGGTAGAAGTTCTTACCGCAGAGTCTGTTGGCCCAAGGTTGATTCCTAGAACCCACAAGACGGAAGGAGAGAACTGGTTCCTGTAAGCTGTCTGCTGACTTCGTGCACGCCACAGCTGTGTATTGTACACGTGTGCACACATACGTGATAAGGAAATAAACACAGTTTTAAAAAGCGCATAAGTATACGCACACCTTTAAAGACTCAGAGGTGCTGTCATCTCATTGATTGCTTAGAGCTGCCGTCTGTTTCTCTGCCTTGTCGTCTTCCTTTGGTTCAGATAAAATGAAAAATCCTTTTTGTTCTTTTTCGTAGGCAATGTATGTATTTTACTACTGCTTGCCACACAGTGTCATGTCGTCTTTAGCAAACTTACTTACAGGTTGCTAAAGCCTCCCCGTAACCAAATGCCATGGCATCTCAAACCATCCACTTGCTCTTCCAGATGTTAGCTCTTTCTTTGGTCATCTTGCCCTTTCCAGGGGCCTCTTCACTCACCCACCTCTCTTTCCCTTACCTCGTTTCATCTTTCTCATGAGAGCATCCCTAAGTTAATATACTCGTCTTTGGTTTTGTAACATGAAGTATTTTGAATGTATTTTCACTGAAACTTTTTTATACAACATACTTTGATCATTCTTTCCCCTCCCTCAATTCTGTATAGATCCTCCCCTTCCCACCCAACTTAATGCTCTCTCTCTCTCTCTTAAAAAACAAAAAAGACCCACCCAAACAGAGCAAAACAAACAAACAAAAAACACATTTAAAAATAAAAGTTAAAAGAATGAAAATAAAACTTGGAGTCCATTTTGTGTGGACCAACTCTTCCTGAACCCCTGAGGCTTGCCCTTGAATATGGGTGATATTGAAGAATGTGTTTAACTGAAGAAAACTGATTTTTTTCCCTCTCCCAGCATCCATCAATGGCAAATAACTTCCCAGAATGCTATCTGGTTTGCACCTGTGCAGGTCCTGTGCTTGCTGTCCCGCTATGAGTTCGTATGCACATCAGTCTTGGTGGAGCTGGAAAGCACTGTCTCCTTGGCATCCCCCAGCACCTCCGGACCTTACACTCTCGGCTTCCTTTTCTGCATAGACCTCTGAGGCTTGAGGGAGGGATTTGGTAATTACATCCCATTCAGGACTGAGCACTCTAAAGTGCCCCCCCCCCCATTGTCCTGTTGTGAGTCTCTGTGTTTATTACCATCCACTGCAAGGAGAACATTGTTACAATGGATGCTCATCCTGTGCTCTCTTACCGGAGACCCTTACGCCTACCAGATCTCTAAGAGCGATGCTCACGGCTGCTAGATTAACATTTCTTTCTTGGTATTTGTTTTTCTCACTTCAAACTTAAAATGCCTTTAACTAAGTTGATCATTTTGTCTTCTTTATTCCTGGCATCATCCCTCAAGAATTCTAATTTTAAAAATCTTTGACTTCTCTGCCTTCCAGAAAACGTGTCTATTCTTTTCTTTCCAATGGAGCAATCCTAGACATTGTAAACTGCTACTCAATCCCTCATTTGCATACCCCTGACCTTCCAGTCTCTTCTCAAGCCTTAGTCATTATAATTAGATTTTGAATTAAGTCACCTTTACCTCCCAAATAATCCAATTCAGTCTCTATTGTTAAGTAAAACACAATATATGAACCCTTTAGTTGGACAGTCAAAGCCCATCACAATGCAAGAGACATCTATCTTTCTGAATGACTTTACAAAGACCCACCAGTACAGATTTTCACTTTGCCATCACAGTCCTTTTATTAGTGTTCTGCCGTGTCTCCTGCATCTCTCCCCTTCCCTGTACACATCTGCTTGTTCCTCAAGACTCATGCTACATTCCTCATATTGCTCGAAAGAAACCTTGTCTGGTCATTCTGAATAGAAGGGATACTTTTTCCTGTTATCACATTTTAAATGTTGACTATCTTGAAATTATAATATTCTTGTATTCAGAGATGTGACTTTGTTTCTCTAAAGTGTGCACACTCCACCTTCCAGGAAGCAGAAACAATGCTTTGTTCATCTGTCCAATCTCTGCTGCACCTGGCTGTAAACTTTCTTTTGTTCTTTGCATCCTAACACTCATTTTCTGTTTGTAGTATAATATTACACCCTTTTAAGCACAATATCAACCCACCACTTATCATCATTATGTACCTTTGCCCTTCCTGTATTTTACATTTTAATAATGTTTCCATATAAAATAGCAATTTCTATATGTGCATAAAGTTGTTAAAATAGGTTCTACTCCAAAATGAATATTCCAGCTGTCCCATGGAGCAATAGTAACCATCACTCCAAAGCCCTTAGCTAGACTCTTAGCTGTCATATAAGAAGTTGAGGTTGTAAAGCTCTCCTAGTTACACGGTTCACCCTCCTTAGCTACAAGGAAAAATCTCATGTTATATTAGTTTTAAATTATACATTACCAATTTGGGACACTCAATATATTATACTGTTACCCTGGGCAATGAATATGAAGTTCTGTGCTTTGAAGACTTTTTGGACATAGTTACAGTAGTTAAGGTATCTTTTTGTGGTTAAGTGGTAGAAACTCATCTCAAGCTGATTTAATAGAAGAGAGAATTCACGCCTTCATAAAACCGAGTGGGCGTGGCCTCATGTTCAGCTGTCACACTCTCAAAGGCTGTCACACTCCCGTTTCTCTTCTGCCCTGTAGAGTGACCTCACTTTCTCCCACACAATCTGGGTCTTCTCCAAACCAGCAAGAAGAATGATCACTGCTACAGCTCGCACAACGTCTGTGGATCCAAAGAGAGTTCTAATTGCTCTTCTTCAGGTCAAACCAGCACAATAGACTGGCCAGAGGGATGAACTACCTTGAGTGTCACTGCCCGGGTCAAATAACTGCAACTGCTCTATATGCAAGAAAGGAACTGAGAAGAGCTGATTGACAGCTTCAGAGCCACACAGCATTGAGTGAAGACACCCACAAGGACAAAGGATATAATTATCAGAAGTGGAAACACAAGATGGGTCAACACTAGACAAATCGAACTGCTTCCCTTTGCCCCATTTCAGCCTCTGCCTGTTGAGGACATACATGTCATTTTAAAAATGCCTCAGGCAAAATAATGCTCTCAGTCCTCATTAAAAGTGACATTTAATCACAGTCACTGTGAGTTCTGCTCCCAGTTGAGTCTAGAGTCTCACACAGACACGAACAAATCCTGTGTTTGGAAATGAGTAACCATGGGCCACGCTCCATCACGTCAGCTACACAATGAATTAAACAACTCCCCAGAATCAACAGGAAAGGAAAATCAAGGTAACAATAGTAAAAGTGGCCATTCAGAAAAGAGGACAGTCGTTAGTGGTATTGTACCAGAGTCTGTGCTATGTGCTCATCTTGAGTTTCCCAGGCAGAGCAGTGAGCTCTTTGGCCAACAGGTACATCCAAGTAACGCATCCTAAAGATCTCCATTTTCCAGAGGGAGATACTTTAGAGGATACTGTGGACTTGTGATGGCTACTGGGTCCTGTCAACCAGCATAGCACTTAAATAACAAGTTCATCTCTGTTAGGTTCACATTCATGAGGCAATTTCTCCTCAAACTGCCGTACGCCATGAGCTTGACTGTTAGGAGCTCTGAGAACTAAGAGCTAAGGCTAGCTGCAGGCCCTTAGCATTGAGTGCCTTTGCAGTGCCATAGCCTAAGGTAACAGGTCTGTCTACCCAAGTGACCCCATTCTCGGGTTTCCTTTAACAACTTGATCTGACCTTTGATCTTGGCAAGTATGGAAGAAAAGCTTCTCTGTGATTCTTCACCTCCATAGTTTTGGGGTTCTGCAGCAAGGAGTGATGTGAGTACATCTAGACTCAGTCTCCCACAACGGTTTACAAGTTCAGAACCGGGCTGCCATTTTTACTGGCTGTGCAGTCTTATTATGCAAGTCATTGGCCCGTTCTGTGCTTTATTGTCCCCGTCTGTGTAGAAGCTAGCTTACAGGAGTGTTATGAGAGTGAAATGAATTAGTTCATATGGAAGACTTAGAACAATGCCCGTCACGGGCTAAGTCCTGCGTGGCAGCCGTTTATCAGTCTGGACATCTGCAGAAAGGATTTATGTTTATCTTCTGTGTTCGTCTGCTCACGCGTACCACATGCTTGCCTGAAGCCCTCATAGGCCAGAAGAGGGAGTTAGATCCCCTAGACCTGCAGTTACAGGTTGTTGTAAGCCAGCTGAGTACTGGGAACTGAAACCCAGATCTTCTGAAAGAGTAGCAAATCCCTTTAACGGTCGAGCAATCTCTTCAGCTCCACTCCTGGCATTTTTGTCTTCTTCCAGGGTCTGGTCTTTGCTCACATCACTGGCCTATTCTGCACCTGATGCTGACAAGGGTTTGCGTTCAGACTTCCTGTTTCCATGGGACCGTCTGATCATCACTGAGCAGACGGTGGCGGGAACTGACGCGAGGCTGATTGACAGCCAGCACGACCAATACCATCGTAAGAGAGGCAGGCTCTCCCCACCCCCCAGAAGAGTAGTTGCCGCAGAATAGGGACTTCAGGACATTTCAAACACTACCTCCTGCGCTTCTCAACACTGCTTCCTGACACAGGTTTTGGGTTGAATCCTCAAAAATACAGCATCTGAGAAAGGGATTTAAGTGTGCGTGACATCTGTGTGACTGAGTAGTAGTGAAAATTCCACGAAGGATTCCCAGGATCCTAAGAGAAGGGACGAGAGTCAAGAAAAGAGAAGAGCTCAGCATGTGCATTTGCTCCGACCTATGGATCACCTGTGGTTTAAAAAACGAAAAGAAAAGCACATAGCAGAGAAGTCTTTTAGCTAAAAGCAAAGATGTTCACTGGGACACTGTTTGGAGCTCTGTATCAGTCAGTCAATGAGGATAGGAATCTCAAAGGCAAGGTGGTCCCCAAGGGTAGATATTCCCAAAGGGAACTTGTGAACCCCAGGCAGCCATATGCACTGCTTCTGTTGTTTGAGAACTCAGGTCTGGAAGAAAAAAAAGAAAAAAGAAAAAGAAAAAAAAGCCCTTCACGGCCTCCAATGATTTCTACTACTAATACCTTAACAGTGTTGAGAACGGTTCGGATTTATTTTAAAAAAATATGTTGGGATTCAAAAAATGAAGATCAGAAAAACAAACCAGCCACCACTACGGAGACCTTTTACCTCTACCGAAAGGGCAAGATCCTCTCTCCACAAATCCTCAGACTCCACACTCAGTCTCTTCCTCTTTATATTCCTCTCTCCACCCAGTCACATCACTCCTGTCTGCACCTCCCTAGTGCTGGTATTAAAGATGTGTAGCTCCTAAACACAGGGGTTAAAGGTGTGAGCCACCACCACCCTGGATCTGTTTCTAGATCGACCTCGCGGGGCCCAGGGTAGCCTTGAACTCACAAAGATCCTGAGATTAAAGGTGTGTGCCACCACTCCCTTGTACTAGTTCTGCAAACCTGCTGCCAATGTTACCTACTCTGACACCGCTTTATCTCCGCCTTCCCCACACAGTGCATTTGGTGCCGAGAAGAAAAAGTCTGCAAAAAGTACTGTTTCCCATATTCTGACTGCAAATTCAACTCCATCTTCTGGGCGAACTGTAGAGGTAAGTGGTCCTCATTTCAATTTTTGTGACTTCATTGCATCTGACTTGCGCATAGGAGAGATTTGCTGCATTTGAGGGATTCAAAATGATTGCATTTGCATTAGCAAAATTTTCTAGTCCAGGGCTTCTCTTCAGTGCTGCCCTCGTGGGTTGTTCTGGGTGGAATTGATTCAAAGTGAGTCAGATGGGACCCTTGCCGTAATACTCAGCAGTTAGATTTCATTTGTAAAAATCTCTATTGTGGGATGTTCATAACCTAGTTAAGGGATGTTTGTGTTGTGATGCTGTAGAAACTCTTGACTGTGTGTGTGTGTGTGTGTGTGTGTGTGTGAGTGTGTGTGGTGTGCACATGTGATTGTATGTATGTGTATGTATGTACATATGTACATGTTAGTTCTGCAGATGTTCTGAGCCGAGTGGTTTTACTGTAACACACTTCCTTGGCAAATGGAGTCTGTCTGGAGAATTACTATTAAGAATGGTGACTCCTTCAGATAGCAAATCTCATTTACCAAAAAAGTATCTTTCTATTTGTAATGTCAAATTTGGACATGCTATATGGTAGTTACCAAAGCAGGAAAAAAAAGTACTAATATTTTTCAATGAAATTTCTAGAAAAGCTAAAACAGGTGATTTTCCAAGTGAGCACGACTTTGGTAAGAAAAGCCCATCTATCAACAAGTTGTCTGATGTTTTTCTTAACTGAAATGAAAATATATAATTCTGCCTAAATCTCTGCTTGCTTCAGGTTCTATGGGTCTTTTAAATCAACTGTATTTGGACCTTATAAAGACAAACACCTTGCATTCACTAGGAAGAGAAACTCTGGTCTCCTATTTTATGTTTTCCCTTCTAGTTCATCTCACTGCCTCTCAGGCTAATAAGCTGTGTGGTCTGAAGGAGGGGAAAGTTCACCAGAGTAGACATCTGCTCCTCCAGCCAGTGTGGGCTGTCTCTGATAACAGAACACTGGTGCTTCGGCAACAGCCCAGCCTCTGGTGTCTACAGGCACCTTCCCAGAAATGGCAGTCTGGGCATTTACTGTCTTACCTGCTGAGAAAGTACCAGAAATGAAACAGAGGCCAAATACAGGGGAACTGGTGCAGTAGGCTGCTAAGCTCTTTCCAATGCGGGGTTCAGCAGTGACTGTCGTATTAATGGTGGCCTTAGAACACGCAGGGCAGTGCATGCTCTTGTAGCCTCATTCCAACAGAGATCTGAGAATGTATGTCAGGAATTCAGATTGCATGATACTAGAAGAGTTAAAAACATAAGAATTTTTTGATCTGTTTTTAAAATATGTCTCTTTTCATCAATTTCAGTTGACCTGTTTGGAATCACGATGCTGATACTGGTTGCATTACTAGCAGTAGGATTCTTGTGGTATTGCCTCGCCTACCACTTATACATGCAGGAGTATGTCATTTTACCCTTCCTAAGAGTCCGCTTTGGGATGGTAGCACTGAAAAAAATACTAAGATAGTTAACAGGAAGTGTTTAGCTAAATGCTTAATGAAAATACTGAAAGGTACATACACTGTTATAAGGTAAAAAGAAAGACTAACCAAGTTTCCTGTCCCACCTCCACCTCCAGCATGCCTCTGCTGAAGCCAGCATGCCTCTGCTGAAGCCAGCATGCCTCTGCTGAAGCCATGCTGCAGCTTGGCTGTTTGTGGTCCTGCTGATTACCTTCATGCAGCTGAATTACATGGCTGAATGTTTCATACTGCACTAACGTCACATACTATTACACTTAGCGCCCCATCCGGAAAACTGAATATTTCATCTTGTGCTGTCCTGATAATCACTGTTATTATTTTGCTATTTTATGTGTTATTTTGAGATTTTTAGCCATTTTTTCTTGTTTTTAGTAACCTAAAGGTTACCAGTGTTTATATATTGCTTATCTTTTAGAATTTACTTAGTCCATTTAATCCTCTGTTTTTATAATAAGATAAGAAAATTTTATATTAAGATTAGAAAATTTGAGGGCCAGGAGTGGTAATGTTCTCCTTTAATCTTTTATTGTTGTTTCCCAAGGAAGAGTTTAGTTTCTCTGTAGCCCTGGCTGTCCTGGAACTAGCTCTGTAGACCAGGCTGGCCTCTACCTCCCAAGTGCTGGGATTAAAAGTGTGCGTTACCGTGTCCTGCAATTCTCCTTTATTCTTAGTACTGAGGAAGACAGGCAGGGCTTGCTTCTCTGAATTAGAATCCAGCCTGGCCTACATTGTTAGACCTTGTCTCAAAAACGTATTTTTGGATTCCCCATTTTCCTTATCGTTTATCCTCTCTTCCCTTGAGCCCCGGTTCTGTAAGCCTTCACACTCGTTTGACTTTATGGAGAAGTTACTTTCCATTTTGCGACTGTAATTCCCCCTCAGAAGGCTCACATTTCAAGTCTGAAATTTAAACTGTTCAAGCGATTGGATAATTCACACTCGAGTGAGTAAACATAGAGTGCAAACTCAAAACAGAAGAGCAAGTACAGTTCTATACCACCAATCCACATCGCTTGAGGGAGAAGCAACAATGTCCAAGCCGATGGAATTCTCTTTCTTAAATTTTCTTTCTTAAAATTACACTCCATCTTAAAACCACACCTCACTTCATATATGTTCTGTATCTTTCTTAGTTTGCCCCTGTTTTTCTAGGAGTTTTACATTTTTCCCGTGGAGTTTTGAGATAGCTTCACTATTTCTTGTGATCAAACATGAAGCCAGGCCTGGTGCCAACATGCCTTTGATCCTGGCACTCGGGAGGTGCAGGCGTATTAGTGTATTAGGGTCGGCCTGATCTGCAGAGCAAGCTCCAGGATAGCCAGGAGAGAGACTGACTCTATCTCAAGGAATCAACTAACAAACAAGAAAATATCCTTAGTCTAATAATAATAATAATAATAATAATAATAATATTTATTCTAATAATAATCACTTATCTTTACATTTGACAAAATATTTTTCCTATAGTTATTCTTCTGAAGCTCTCCTGAGTGAGTTTTTAATTAAGTTGGCATACACAATAATAATGTTCCTATGACATTTTTCATAAGTATATGTTATTATACTTTGTCCTTACTCTCCCCCAGTGTCTTCCTCTATTTCCCTTACCTGGCTCTTTCTCCCCCTCCCCCACCCATCCAATAGACCTCCACTGTGTTTGCAAGAACATTCTGTTCTAATTCACAAAAACTACTTTCTTTTCACAACTAAAGTAGAATATTTTGGTTCCCTGTCTTCCTCTGTTTCGAGTCTTTTCCTTTGTTTCTTCTCCTGGAGAATAGAGTGTCTTTTTCCAAAGTGGCTTTGCAGAGCTGGAAAATATTCATACAGCTCATAGTTCTTTCCCAATTTCTCTTTTTCCACTCTTTTATAGCTTGACATGTTTTTTTTGTCAGATTATATGCCTTTTATAAGATAAGATAGGAAGATAAGACAGGTAGAAACAACTAAAAATAGATGCATACAAATAGGCTTATCTGCATGTAAAGCGATTTATGTGTCTATCTGTGTACACACACACACACATATAAAAGGTTGCCCAAAATACAGTTTGTTTGTTCAGCACCCTCATTTTGTCTAGGAAATTATATTTTCCTGATGTCGGGGTTTGTGTCCTTCCCTTATTAACATATAACACTTTGTCAGTAGAAGACAAAGTAAGATGGCCATATCCCTTTCCTCTCAAAAGCAAAACAATAATGGTGCAGAGAACTGATGGGACACAGTACATGCGTGGCAAGAGGCTCTTTTTTTGTATTTTCTTTAAAAGATTATGGTATGCCGGGCGGTGGTGGCGCACGCCTTTAATCCCAGCACTCGGGAGGCAGAGGCAGGCGGATCTCTGGGAGTTCGAGGCCAGCCTGGTCTACAAGACCTAGTTCCAGGACAGGCACCAAAGCTACAGAGAAACCCTGTCTCAAAAAAAAAAAAACAAAAACAAACAAACAAACAAAAAAAGATTATGGTGTATTATATCATTACCTTTTTGTAGTGCTTACGAACACAATAACAGACGACAAGCATAGGAACAGAGGCCATAGCAAGCGCCCATTGCTGAAGCTTCTTCTATTTCCCTTTTAAAAGATGATTTGGAAATGCAATCTGACAACCGATTTGGTTCTGGTTTAGCTTTGCTGTCCATCCCCAGTTTAAATTTCTTTTACAGACATTCTCTACCTTTGCTAATTGAGTGGGCACAGCATTCATGAGAGTGTTCTATAAAGAAGTTGTTCTTGATCATCTAGTCATCCCCAGCTGGATTCTAGAGGCTATGCGGCTCAGCAGCAGAGCGCTTGGCTAGCATGCAGAGGGCCCTGGGTTCAAGTCACACCCTTCCTCTCATCACTTAAAAGACAGAGTAAGGCTGATCTCAGTGAGTTCGAGGCCAGCCTGGTCTACAAAGTGAGTTCCAGGACAGTTAGGACTGTTACACAGAGAAACCTTGTTTTGAATTAAAAAAAAATAAAAAAATGCTGGGTGGTGGTGGCTCACGCCTTTAATCCCAACACTAGGGTGGCAGAGACCGTTGCCTCTCTGTGAGTTCAAGGCCAGCTTGGCTTACAAAGCGAGTTCCAGGACAGGCTCCAAAGCTACAGAAAAACCCTCTCTCAAAAAATAAAACAAAAAATTAAAGTTTTAAATGTTAATAACACATAGATATTTGATATACTCGTTTTCTCAAATGCTTGTTCTTTATCAAAGTAGTTATGATGTGATACGCACTCAGTATCCATGTCACTAGAGATATTGAGAGGGAAAGATTAATACCTTGCCTGCATGTGGGACAGAGAGGTGGAAAGAAGCAATTGTTGGTTTTATTGTCAATTGATTTTCTTGTATTTTTCTTAAAATGCACTGGCTCTCCTGATGAGTAGATAAGACAATATTTCATGTTAAGAAAGCAACTCTACTATACTCTATACCAAGAATTAAGATAATTTCAACTGTAACCAATCTTAAACTTTAAATTCACCACCATTTTGAACAGGCGGCAGGCCTTTTATTATGCAAGAAATGGACCAGTTCCTGGTTACCGCGACTGGAATGCTACCGGCAAGTGCTTTCTTCCATTTGACAGGCTACCCCAGACTTTTTCAGTGGCTGACAGCCAGAAGTCAGGCTCTTTGTAGACCCACAGAGCTAAGGTCCATGTGGGAAACGTGACAACAGATGTCATTATCCTCATTTTGCAAAACACATTAATAATTCAATAGTTAGACTAGGATTTGCAAAATAGTAACAGAAATGATCATCGGAGTACTGGCAGGGGAGTGCTAAAAATTTTAAACTGTTTGGGGATTTAATTACTTCCCCTTTCCCTTCTTTTACCACTTAACTGAGGAAACTGAAGGAGACCTTTGTCTTCAGGAATTCTTGGGGATTTCCCCCTTCGTCTCACCCAGCCCTCCAGGTTACCCATTGTGCAACTCTTTTCTGAGTTCTTCAAACTTCCCTTAGTTCCCCCCTCACTTGTGGCTTCCTCTGGCTGGTCACCTTCATCTCTACACAAGGCAGAGAATAAACAGGCTTCAGGTATGAGGAGTAGGAAAACATGGGGTTTATACATTGTTATTTAACAAAGCGTGGGGGAGAAAGAGCAGTGCTGGCCCACACTGAGTTCTTGGAAAATGTATCTGGATGATTTCCTGGCTTAGGGAGTCACTGATGGCAGCTGATTTTCTGTCACTGAGGACAACGAGTCTGGTGGTTTCCTCAAAGACTTGGCCTTTTCCCCTTTGTCAGATTCTCACCAGGCTAATGCTACCCTGTGTTCCTTGACTCCTAAATATTCAATAGCAGGAGTATTATGATCACAGTAGTGTATTTATGGCATCCGTGGACATTTTATGACTGATGTATTTAAAGATTAAAACTGTAATGCTGTTACTGGATTTTGTTAAAAGTCTTTGAGAAGGTAAATTTATTTCCTTTTCCATAGCATATTATGAATAAATAACTGAACAGACAGCTCTTTCGGAGAGAGAAGGCGAACGTTCTTCAAAGGTAAGCTTCTTAGAAACACTGCAGAGAATTTCTTTACCCTGGCCCATTTGTAGGAAACAGCTTTTCAGGAATACATCATTAGAATTATTGAGAAAGGAACACTGAATCTGTGAATTCCATAGACGAATTTCAATCCCCGAATTGAAGGGCGTTAAACCCGAAGGCAAGGGAAAGATGGGGCTGTGCGAGTCTCTTTTTATATTTGTTGATAAATTTAAAAGAAAGACAATAAACTCTATTGAGGAAAAACAAAGCATTGATCTAGCAATGGCAGAAACAGGATTGGAAAGAGGAAGCAGGGAGGTAAAGAGTCCAGGCCCAGAGGAACAGGAAAACAGAAGGAAAACAGCCACGTGGGGTGCCGCTCCCTGAAAGAGGCCCACAGGCCTGCTGGATTTCAGCAGGGGTGTTGGCAGGAGTCCCGCGTGTAAGGGGCAGACAGAAACAGTCTTGGGCGGAGGGAAGAGTCGAACTGACATAG